GGCAAATAAATAGCAGAGGTAAAAATCAGCAGGTTTGAATAGTGTTTCCAAAACCAACAAGATGGCCATGGTCCATGGCGGTGCATGGTGAGGTCATGTGTCGTAGCTCCACTCTACGCATTTTGTCACGTGGTGGATGTCGACACACGACGTCATGCCCAATAAGTAGGAATGGGAGGCCACCCCTTCCAACCTCAATTGCCCTCCAAACACCCAGAAACATCACCAATAACCAGGAAATGGAATCTGTCAGCTTGGGTCAAACTGGTTAGCTGCACTCCAAATACTGGAATCAGGACCACAAGTCAAAAGGACTAAAAAAAAAACAGGTATGGAGAGTTTTAAACCGACCCACAGAATAAACGACTGGAAAAACTAATAATAAGAAATAAATAGTAAATTTAAAAAAGAAATAAAAATATTTATCACAAATGGATGTTATAAACACTAAACCATATAAACAGCACCTGTGGTCAGCGCTATCTTGTGATGAAAACAATAAATACAATACATTTACAAATTATAAAAAACACTATAATATAAAGTCTAAAAATAAATATAAATAGTCAATACAGATTAACCATTATTAATAAAGGCATTCACATCCCATTCTATATTAAGTCCAAACGGGATGTATGTTTTTAAAGAACAAATCCAAAAAGTTTCTAATTTGGAGATCTCACACCTCACATGATTCCCTCTCCAACTAAGGGTAAATTTGTGAATGGCTAGAAACAAAGTTCCATCTGGACTTTTATTATGATGCAATGCATGATGTTTAGACACACCATGATCAGGGAACCCCTTATGTATGTTCTTAATATGCTCATTAAATCTGGTACATAGCATGCGTGTAATACGGCCCACATATTGTAGGCCACATGGACACTGAATCACATAGACCATATTTCGTGTGGAACATGTAATAAACTTTCTAATGTCATAAACTTTGAGAGTACGGCTTGAATGAAAAGAGTTAGCCCTTCTACACCCTTGAGAATTAATACCACAAGCTTTACACTTTCTACAGGGATAATATCCATTTAACCCCTGAAAAAAAACGTCGGCCTCACAGGGGGATCCTCAACATTCCTGGACACACTCAGCCTAGTCAGGGGTAGCTCCCATAAAAATAACCGACAGAACCTCAGGAAGCAAAGGACCCAAAACCTTATCATTCTTCAAGACATTCTAATGTCTATGAAGAATTATTTTAACAGCATAATGTTGTGTGGAAAAAGTGGTAAAAAAGGAAAAATGGGAAAGAGGATCCATTCGTGCCACTTGTTTAGGTCTTAACATATCCTCCCTATCCTTACTGTCAACCTGCAGAAAAGCCTCATCTAGGTCCTCAGACTTATCGGTCGGTTATCTTGATGAATTCTCTCTCTCCTTCTGGCTTTTGGTTCACGTGGCACTACCACTACTGGAACATATGAATTTTGTATAGACTATTTTTTACTGAATGCCAGGAATGATCTGTATGTTTGTACAAGAGAAAGTGTACTATGCTACAACTGGCTTAAAAAAACACATACAGTTGTAACATATACAAAACTAGACTCACTGACTAAAAACACAACAGAAAGCAATGTGCCAGCTATTTTTGCTAACAAAAGGTTACAGAAAAAAATCAGGAAAGCAATTTAAATCTTTTGTTTTCTTTTATATTTAAACAGTGTAGATAAATGGCTGTCCTATACAGTTATGGCTAAAGATATTAGCACCCAGAAAGTTGTTGCAATTACAAATGTTTAAGCATTCTCATGTTTATTTCTTTGGTTTGTATTGGTATGACACAAAATAGTGGAGGAAAAGAAAAGCCAAATCTGACACATTCCCCACAAAACTCCAAAAATGGACTGGACAAAATTATTGGCACCTTCTCAAAATTGTAAGAAAAAATTGCATTCCAAGTTTGTGATGCTCATGTAATTTGTAATAAAACTCACCTGTACCAATTAACAGGTGCTGACAATATAGAAATCACACTGGCAACCAGTTAAAATGGTTAAAAATTTACTCAATCTTTCTGCTGTGTTTCTCTGTGTGCCTCCTGGAGCATGGAGAAGAGAAAAAGCAGCAAATAATTGTCTGAGGATTTGAAAACAAAAATTGTGGAAAAGCATGGACATTCTCAATGCTACAAGTCCATCTCCAAATATCTTAATGTTCCTGTGTCCACTGTGCGTAACATTGTCAAGACTTTTACAGCTCATGGCACTGTAGCTAATCTCCCTGGATGCAGACGAAAGAGAAAAATTGATCAAAGATTGCAATGAAGGATTGTTCGAATGATGACTAAAGACAAATTCAAGCTGACCTTCAAGCACAGGGTACAGCTATGTCAGATAGCACTATACGTTGCCACCTAAATGAAAAAGGATGCTATGGTAGGAGACCCAGTGTCAGGAATGGACTCGCCAATGGTGGTGGGACTCATCTGCCGTGTGGGCTGCAGTACCAGGGCTGGCCAGCGGGTGCTCTCAGCAACCAGAAGCTTACTCCTGCAGTCAGCCATCACCTGAGGCTGATTGCAGGAGGTGTATTTAAGGAATGGCCAGACCTGCAGTCAGTGCCTTGGTGTATGTTTCCCATGAGCCCCTGTACCTGCATCCTGTCTGCTTCCTGCCTGATTCCTGATTCTGCTTTGATCCTGACTCTGAATGAACTCCGCCTGTCCTGACCCCGGCTATTCCTGACCACTCTCCAGCCTGCTCCTTTGGTACCTTGTCTGCCTGATTGCTCTTGACCCGGCCCTTCTGACTACGCTCTGCCTGCTCCTTTGTGTCTTGTCTGCCCAATGGTTCCTGACCCGGCCTGCCTGACCACTCCACCTCACCAGCCCTGACTGCTCTTGTCTGTGTACATTCCGTTATCAGTTGGAGGTTTGGTTTTGTTATATTGTGCGTGTTATATTTGTTACACCATACTTGAGCCTGCGTTTCCCTGTGTCAGTTCACACATCTCTGGTCTTACCGGGAGCCCTGACATTACACCAAGGCCATTCCTGACCAGAAGTGGCTGCACAGGGAAGCCATCTTGGCTTGTTGTTGTTGGGAAGGATGCATCCTGAGGAGGTGGTATACTTGTATTTGCTCGTCTTAGATGACAGAGAATATGCCTATCAGACTCTGCAGGAGTATACCAGGGATCAGCTGCTAGAGTGCATACGGGTCGCTCATTCCCTAGTAGATCAGGGCACAGAGTTCTCTGAGGTGCAACCATTGATTCAGGCTTGTGTTGAGTTGGCTTCATCTAGTACCCCTGAAAGCAGGGATGACTTTCTTCCACCATTCAGTGTGGATCAAATAGAATCACTGGTATGGTTGTTGGAGGATGATCCGTTTTGCTTCTGGGAACATTATTCAGCATGTTCACCACATGTGCTAGTGGAGTGAATAAACGCAGTGCAGTCTTTGGTCAGACAGGCTATGTGTAAACTGAGTTTTGTTCAACCAATACTACAGTCCTGGTCAGACTTGTTACACCCAGCCTCAGTCAGCTTGTGTTATGATCCACCAGGTGGTGCCTCAGGCTGCCAACCGACAGACCTACTCAGAGCGTGGGGTCTAAGCCCGGGCTGTGCTTTCACCAGAGCCCCTGATGGTGGGGATGGACTTGAAACAGTCCCGGGCCAGGTCACGACCTCCGAGCAGGCCCACCAGTGGCTGAGGAGACCTTTGGGGACAGGTACCGGGAGAACCAGATATGAAGAGGATGGCGGCCCCAGCAGGGTAGTAACGGATCGTGGGCCCATGAGGGTAAGCGGGGTACAGAATCGGTAGGCGAAGAGTAGTCGGGTCACACGCAGGGTCAGCAGGGAAGTCAATCCGTAGAATGGTCAAGGCAATCCGGGTCAAACGCAGGAGCAGGCAGAGTAGTCAGGACAATCCGGGTCAATCACAGGAGCAGGCAGAATAGTCAGGGCAATCCGGGTCAATCACAGGGGCAGGCAGCGTAGTCAGGGTCAATCAGGGTCACTAGACAGGTGCAGGAACTCGGGATCACAGGAAGACCTTGCGGCAATCTGTGACAGTGCAGGGCATCTTTAAATAGTGCGCCCTGCACTGTCATTGGCTGGCTAGGACGCGCCCCCGGCTGTCATTGGGCGCCTGAGGCGCGCCCCCGGCACCTACTGCGCATGCGCAGCGTCCTGTCAGCCGCGCGCTCTCGCCGGGACCTAGTGCCTGTGTCCCGGCGCGATCTGCCGCCAATGCGCATGCGCGGGGGACAGAGCCGCGATCGTGGAGCACGGAGCCGCGATCCCTGACAGCTTGCAACAAACCCGTCCTGCTTCAAATCATTCCTCTGCTCAAAGCTCTATTCCTGCATTCCCGACAGCACCCACAGTGACAGCCCAATATACCCTGCTATCTACCACATGTCAGTACCCTGTTCCCACTCGCTGCACCTATCCTGCCTTTAACCCTGTAAAAAAGGCCGCTGTAACAACTATTCCCTCCTCTGTTCCACCCTCCAGCTCTTCTCTGTCCCCAGCTACTCCATCCATTTACAGACCTGCATTTACTTGCAGTGCCCCAGTAACTAAACCCAAGAAGAAGCGAAATTCTTTCCAACCAGTACCATCCTACCAGTATCCAAACCGGTCAGCCTGCCGTCTGTGAACCCGCCTTCCGTTGTACAGCCTGATGCCCTGATGCCTGATGACCCAGTGTACGCTACCCAGCCTGATGATCCTACCCAGCCTGATGATCTGGTGTCCGCTACCCAGCCTGATGGCCCGATCCGGCCTGATGGCCCGATCCGGCCTGATGACCCGATCCGGCCTGATGATCTGGTGTACACTATCCAGCCTGATGACCCGATCCAGCCTGATGACCCGATCCAGCCTGATGACCCGATCCAGCCTGATGACCCGATCCAGCCTGATGACCCGATCCAGCCTGATGATCCTGTCCAGCTTGATGATTTGGTGCCTGCTACCCAGCCTGATGACCCGATCCGGCCTGATGACCCGATCCAGCCTGATGACTCAATGCCCGCTGTCGTGCCAGATGACTCGGTGCCCGCTGTCGAGCCAGGTGACTCGGTGCCCGCTGTCGAGCCAGATGACTCGGTGCCCGCTGTCGAGCCAGATGACTCGGTGCCCGCTGTCGAGCCAGATGACTCGGTGCCCGCTGTCGAGCCAGATGACTCGGTGCCCGCTGTCGAGCTTGGTGACCCGGTGCCCGCTGTCGAGCCAGATGACTCGGTGCCCGCTGTCGAGCCGGATGACTCGGTGCCCGCTGTCGAGCCGGATGACTCGGTGCCCGCTGTCGAGCCGGGTGACTCGGTGCCCGCTGTCGAGCCGGGTGACTCGGTGCCCGCTGTCGAGCCGGGTGACCCGGTGCCCGCTGTCGAGCCGAGTGACCCGGTGCCCGCTGTCGAGCCGGGTGACTCGGTGCCCGCTGTCGAGCCGGGTGACTCGGTGCCCGCTGTCGAGCCGGGTGACTCGGCGCCCGCTGTCGTGCCGGGTGACCCGGCGCCTGCTGTCGTGCCGGGTGACCCGGCGCCCGCTGTCGTGCCAGGTGACCCGGCGCCCGCTGTTGTGCCAGATGACCCGGCGCCCGCTGTTGTGCCAGATGACCCGTCGCCCGCTGTTGTGCCAGGTGACCCGGCGCCCGCTGTCGAGCCAGGTGACTCGGCGCCCGCTGTCGAGCCTGGTGACTCGGTGCCCGCTGTTGTGCCAGATGACCCGGTGCCCGCTGTCCTGCCAGATGACTCGGTGCCCGCTGTCCTGTTAGATGACTCGGTGCCCGCTGTTGTGCCAGGTGACTCGATGCCCGCTGTTGAGCTTGGTGACCCGGTGCCCGCTGTTCTGCCCGATGGCTCGGTGCCCGCTGCTCCGCCCGATGGCCCGGTGCCCGCTGCCTGGCCTGGTGCCCGCTGCCTGGCCCGGTGCCCGCTGCCTCGCCCGATGGCCCGCTGCCTCGCCCGATGGCCCGCTGCCTCGCCCGATGGCCCGCTGCCTTGCCCGATGGCCTGCTGCCTCGCCCGATGGCCCGGTGCCCGCTGCCTCGCCCGATGGCCCGCTGCCTCGCCCGATGGCCCGGTGCCCGCTGCCTCGCCCGATGGCCCGGTGCCCGCTGCCTCGCCCGATGGCCAGTGCCCGCTGCTCTGCCTGATGTGCCTATGTCCGCTGCCCAGCCTGATGTGCCTCCGTCCGCTGCCCAGCCTGATGTGCCTCCGTCCGCTGCCCAGCCTGATGTGCCTCCGTCCGCTGCCCAGCCTGATGTGCCAGCCCCTGATATCCAGCCAGTTACCTGACCCAGGCGGGGGGAACATTTTGCTCACGAAGGACTGTTTGGAGCATCCTGAGGCCGCTCCTTGAGGGGGGGGTACTGTCAGGAATGGACTCGCCAATGGTGGTGGGACTCATCTGCCGTGTGGGCTGCAGTACCAGGGCTGGCCAGCGGGTGCTCTCAGCAACCAGAAGATCACTCCTGCAGTCAGCATTCACCTGAGGCTGATTGCAGGAGGTGTATTTAAGGAATGGCCAGACCTGCAGTCAGTGCCTTGGTGTATGTTTCCCATAAGCCCCTGTACCTGCATCCTGTCTGCCTCCTGCCTGATTCCTGATCCTGCTTTGAACCTGACTCTGAACTCCGCCTGTCCTGACCCCGGCTATTCCTGACCACTCTCCAGCCCGCTCCTTTGGTACCTTGTCTGTCTGATTGTTCCTGACCCGGCCCGTCTGACTATGCTCTGCCTGCTCCTTTGTGTCTTGTCTGCCCGATGGTTCCTAACCCGGCCTGCCTGACCACTCCACCTCAGCAGCCCTGACTGCTCTTGTCTGTGTACATTCCGTTATCAGTTGGAGGTTTGGTTTTGTTATATTGTGCGTGTTATATTTGTGTATAACCTTTAATAAATTATATTGTTACACCATACTTAAGCCTGCGTTTCCCTGTGTCAGTTCACACATCTCTGGTCTTACCGGGAGCCCTGACACCCAGGAGGACCCCACTGCTGACACAGAAACATAAAAAAAGCCAGATTGGAGTTTGCCAAAACTTACCTGATGAAGACAAAATCCTTTTAGGAGAATGTGCTGTGGACAGAGAAAACAAAATTACAGCTTTTTGGTAAAGCCCATCATTCTACTGTTTTCAGAAAAAGCAATGAGGCCTTTAAAGAAAATAATATAGTCTCTACAATCAAACATTGTGGAGGTTCACTGATGTTTTGGGGTTGCTTTGCTGCTTCAAGCACTGGATGTCCTGACCAATTGCATGGTATTATGAAATCTGAAGACTACCAAAGAATTCTGGGGTGCATTGTAGGGCCCAGTGTCAGAAAGTTGGGTCTTCGTCAGAGGTCATGGGTCTTACAGCAGAATAATGACCCAAAGCACATGTCAAAAAGTACCCAGAAATTATTTCAGACAAAGTGCTGGAGAGTACTGAACTGGCCAGCAATGAGTCCAGATCTCAATCCCATAGAACACCTGTGGAGATATCTCAAAACAGCAGTTGGGAAAAGGAACCCTTCCAATCTGAGAGACCTGGATCAGTTGGCAAAAGAAGAGTGGTCCAAATGGTTGCAGGAATCAATTGATTTCAGTTATTTTTTCCAAGGGGTGTGTTACCAAATATTAAATTGAGATTGCCAATAATTTTGTCCAGTCCATTTGTGTGTGTGAAATATGTCAGATTTGGCTTTTTGTTTCTCTTTTGTGTCATACCAATACAAACAAAAGAAACAAACATGAGAATGCCTAAACATTTGCAATTGCAACAAATTTTATGTGCAAAGTGGTACATTATCTGACAGAAATGCAGGGGTGACAATATTTTTTTGACCATATATTCCAATATGGTAACGCGCTCCAAAAATCATGCAACATAAATAAATACTGTGAAAGACTTGTATATATACCACAAATCATCAAAATTAAAGTTCATTCACTAATACTAAATTATTTGTGAAACAAATCCTTTCTGTAGTGTAGTGTCAATCTCCCAAATGGGTACAGTGTACAATATACCACAAGATATTCTTCCTCTGTGATGGGTTAAATGATAGTGTTCAAACAAAGCTGCACCATGGATCTGTGTAAACAGCATGAGCCTCTGCTTCCTCAGCACAGCCGTTTTGATCAGATCATCCAAAGCTAGCTGCTTGACTTTCTCCTCCACAGATGGGACATGAAAAAAAGGAAAAGATACATAGTGTCTTATCCGAGGTAAAGAGGTTGTTTAATGTGCGCTGGTGTTACACTCACATTTTAAAAGATACAATTGCGCGTTATATATATATAGATATTTATATTTCCGGACCACGATAGGGTCAGCCTTGCAGGTGTGTCTGCCCACAGTGTGAATACTCGCCGTTCCTCTGTGTGGATGCGTGATGACGTCACCGCCCCTCCCCTACGCGTTACGCTACAGGGACTCGAAGCTTCCTCTATATATATAAAGCGCAATTGTATCTTTTAAAATGTGAGTGTAACACCAGCGCACATTAAACCACC